GTAGTCAAAGTCATTGTGGCAGGTAATACTGATAAGAGAGTACTAATGGTGTACCATGAGTACGTCTAATGGCGTTTTAGAATTGCGAAGTCACTTAAACCTCACCACAGCTCTAAGAGGTGGATGCTATCAACATTTTGCAAATAGGGAAACAGGCACAGAGAAGTTAAGCTCCATGTCCAGGGCCACACAGCTAATGTGATAGTGGCACAGGAATCGCTCCAGGGTCCAAGCTCTTAGCTGCTAAGGACGCACATAGCTCAGCCCCCTGGGGGTGATGTCGCTTGGGCAGAGCACCTGCTCTTGTTACCGGGCTCCAGGGCAGGTATTTCCTCCTAAAAGCACGAAAGCCACCTTTAGCTCTGTCCAAGGTCTGACGGCTTGGGTGCTGGGACAGGATGAGTTCAGCAACATGAGGCTTTGTGGTGAAGGAAAAGAACATGTAATCCTTTTGGCCCAGATTTGATCCACACACCATCTATTTGCTGTGTGGCACTGGGCAAGTTGGTTTACCAATCTGTGCCTCAGTTTCCTCATCATCGAGTTCGAGAGGACACAACTCACCTGCTTAGGTGACTGTGTAATGCAGTGAGATGAAGCATGTTTGCATCCAGACCCAGAGTCTGCATACAGTAGGTGCCTAATAAAGAAGAATGATGGATGTGGGTTCTGGGGGTGAGGCCTCAGTGAGCTCAGGTGCCTCTGGACTGTGAGGCTGGGAGCTGCCCCGGTGGGTCCTCCCACCTGCTCCTTCTGGCTGCAGTGGTCTTTGGGCCCTAGCAGTGTGGTACAGTCTCCCAGGCAGCCTATTAGCCAGGAAGTCTCCATAGCAACACCCCAGGACCACCTGTTGGAGGAATCAAGGACTGCAGAACAATGACCCCCTTGCCTCATTCCCGCAGCCTCTGCTGAGGGTTGCAGAGGCAGGGCTGGCTGAGGGGGAGGGGTGGGCTACCCAGTGGTGATCACTTTCTTGGCCTAAGTGGCAAGACTGCTTCCCAAGCAGCAACCCTAAGATGTGGAAGCTTCATGAGCTCTGAGGCTGTCCCGTCCTGCTGGCTGCCCTCTGGGGTAGGGCTGTCACCTGAGAGGTGTCACTGATGGAGAGCCAGGGGATGCAGCAGCTAGCCTCCTGGAACACAGGCTTTTTTGGCTTTGCCATCTGTACTATTATCCCCCTCCCTGCCTGTCCAGGTCTCTGCTTGTGTTGGAATGGAGTGGGGAAAGAATGGGAGGAAGACGGTTAGGCTAAGGAATGCCTCCCAGTGTCCGCACATGGGTGCTGGTGCCAAGGGGTGAGAAGAACAGCATGGAATTCAACCCAGAGCTCTGCACTGGGCCCTGCCTTGTTCCGAGAAGTCTTGGCATTTGACTTTGCCACCTGCAAAATGGGAGTAGTTATCATAGTCAACTACCTTATAAACCACGGTTACCACAAGAAGGAATGGATGAATGGTTGGAAGATCCATCAGATTTCTAATGACCTTTGACAGAGTAATTCTTCTCCTAGCAACAGATTGCTTCCAAATGCCACCATGCTTTATGCAATATAAATATAAATATAAATATAAATATATATAAATATAAATATATATATATATATATTTTTTTTTTTTTCGGTATTGGGATTTAAACTCAGGGCCTACACCTTGAGCCACCAGCCCTTTTAGTGATGGATTTTTTTTTTTGAGATAGGGTCTTGCAAACTATTTGCCTGGGCTGGCTTCGAACCTTGATTCCCCTGATCTCTGCCTCCTGAGTAGCTAGGATTACAGGTGTGATCCACTTGTGCCCGGCTATGTAATATCGCTTATAAGTGAAAAATATCAAAACAATCCAGGTGTCTCAGGAACAGGGCATTGGGGAGTGGTCCTGGAACTTGATATTCCCAAGTTCCAACCTTAAGAGGAGAACAGACTGTAGCACTTAGAAGTGACCAATAATGACATCTCATCCATCCTCTTGTCTTCAGAACTTTGCAAAAGGATTTGGTGCATCTTCAATAAATGCTTGCTGAATTATCTCTTCTGCAGAAAAATTGTATCCAAAGAAAACAGACCTGAGAGAACATTCTAGAATGTTGATGGGGATTATTCTTAGTGATGGGACTATGTGAGATTTTCATTCTCCTTTATTTTTCAGGAAGTAGGAAAAAATGTAAAATGTGCATGTTACTCTAATGCTTAAATGCAATAACTTGAAAATTGTATTAGCTTATAAAAATACAGATGATTTAAAAAAATTGCAATGCAGAAAAGCAAACTAAAAAGAAACTGAAGTTACCTCATGTCTCACCACGTGTCAATTACAGCCATTAATATGTGGCCTGCACCCCTCAGCTTGTCCTATATCCATAGCTATTTTGAGAGAGAGACAGACAGAGACAGACAGAGACAGAGATGCAGAGAGAGGCAGAGGCAGAGAGACAGAGAGAGTGAGGATAAGGGGATCATGAATTACAGGCTGTTTTGTAGCCCATTGCTGCATTCTGGTCATGGGTGGGTTTCCGCATCATATAAACAGACAGTACCATTTTTTGTGGCTGCACAGTATGGATTCTGTTCCATGGATAATTGTTCCTATCATTCAGCAATTTTGTCCTTATAATTAGTGTTGATGTCCCTTTACAACCAGCAAGACAAAACAACCAAAAATGTCCTTTGCTTTTGGGTTTGGAGGATGCTTACCAGGCTTGGAATTGGAGCCAGTTTTAAAGGGTTCATGATGACATCCTCAATGTTTGAAGAACAGTCGTCTTGCAGAAAGCCCTGATTGGTGGCTGTTCCATAAATTCAACAAGAAAAATCCTTTGGACAGGTGTGGTGGTTCATGCCTGTAATCCCAGAACTCAGGAAGCTGAGGCAGGAGAATCATGAGTTTGAGGGCAAAAATACATAAAAACAAAAAAATAAATACCAAAGATCCTTGCACTGAAAACAGGCATGTCATATGGAGAGAAGATGTCCTCATGGTATTTGGGGTAGGGGACAGCACACTCTTGGGTGCTTGCTGGCAACTGTGCTAACTTGGAGAGGTTTCAAGCCCCTCTCAGATCCTAGTAGAAAAGAGACAAGGAACGGGGAGTGAGGTTTGCCTGCCACTCCTAAGACTTAAGAGCCAGGCCCAGGGGAAGGACAGAGAGTGATCAGTTGATGAATTATTGACTTGTCAGCATGGGCTGAAAGCCTGGTTCCTAGGGTCAGACAGTTGTGGCTGTGGTTTCTGTCACCTACTAGCTGGTGACCTTGGGATGGCTCCTAGCATCTGAGAATTGCTCTTTCATCAGTGTGTAAGGTGGGCATGGTGGCTACTCTCCAGCCTCGTAGGAAGAAGTGAGTAATGTGTGCTGTTCTTACAGGAGGCAACTCAGGTCGTGAGCACCTCTCAACCAGAGCTGCTTGTGTCATATCTCTCCCTCCCTCCCTTCCTTCCCCCACCCCTACCCCATCTCGTGTGTCCTCATGTTTTGAGACAGGGTCTTTCAGTATATAACCCAGACTGGCCTTGAACTCACCATATAGTCCAGGCTGGCCTTGAACTCACTATGTACCCAGGCTGGCCTTGAACTCATGACCCTCCTGCCTTAGGCTTCCTAGTGCTGGGATTACAGGCATGCCCTACACATCCCACTGAGATTTTGTTTTCAAAGTAGCTTGGACTTGACTTGGGCCTGTGGCCATACCTGGAACTTTTGGCCAAAGTTGATTGATAAGAAGACTGGGCTGTAGGTGTATGTGCACGTGTGTACGTGCAGTTGGTTGTGCATGTACATGTGTGTGTTGAGGTGGTGGGTATTTGGGTTGATGCAAAGCATGCAGGTGTGTGACAGTGTTAAGAAAGAGGAGGCAGCCTGGCTGTGAGTAGGAGATGCCCATGGGGACAGACAGATGGTGGAGGGGACAGGTGGGGATGGAGCTGAGTGTGGACTGCTGTGTGAAGCAGTGAAAGAACTTTCTGGTATGTGTCATGCTTCCCCTTGGAAGGGCCTGCTTTCCTGAGGCCCCTTGGGAAGAGCAGTGGCCTGGCAGAGGCTGAGTAAGCTTCTCTGGGAGGCCTGGTGGGGACGTGGGGTCAAGTGACCTCTGAGGTGCCATCCATGTCCAAGGTACACAGAGGATGATTGGATGGCCAAGGGAGGAGCAGATGTGGCTTGGAAGGGAGGAGGAGAGGAAGAGCTGATGGCTCAGGATGGCATGAGAGAAGGAGCCAGAGCAGCTAGCAGCTGGCCCGTGGTCAGCCTTCCCTCCTCGGCCTTGCCCTCCTGTTTGCTGCTGCAGGACAGGCCTCATGGTGCCTGCCCCAAGCCTTTGCTGGCGTCCTGCTTTCTTAAGCCCACTGTGATCTGAACCCACCTCCCCAGCTGTACTTCCTACTTGGGGCTGACTCAGGGTGGTCTTCCTTGGAATGTCTGTTCTAGTCCTCTTTGGGGCAGCTCTTCCTTGTCATTTGGGCTTCAGCAGAGTCTCACTTCCTCAGTTTGTAGCCTGAATGGACCTCCCTGCCTTTTCCTGCTCAGGTATGGACAGCCCTCAGGAGCCAAAGTCACCAGCATGACATTGCAGTGCTCCTGGGGGGTTGGAGGGGGGGCAGCCAGGCTCGGTACTTGTGTATGCTCACGCAAACCCTATGAGGACACACAGTTGGCACCCCCATTTGGTAGAGAGGAAGCCGAGGTTTAGCAAGAATGCCCTGAGTAGCCTCTCTCTCACCTGCCTGTTTCCAGGTTCTTGCTTGTGGCTCTCTTGTCCCCCCACCTAGATTGAGCTCCTTAGGGCAGAGCCATGCTTCTGGTTTTCCCAGAACTCCCAGTAATGTGCCATACTTGTCAGTTCTGCTGGTGGGATGTCTGTTGCCCAGAGACCCAGTCTGTTGGACCTCCACACAGACTTGGGGGCCTGAGACTGACATGACCCCCAGCCCCATTGGTGAGGCAAGTGGAGAGGAGCTGGTAGCTGAGCCCTGGTCCTCTCCCCACTCCCTGTTCTCTTTTTCTGTGCCAGGGAACTCAACGGGAACAACATCACCAGGATCCATAAGAACGACTTCGTGGGGCTCAAGCAGCTTCGGGTGCTGTGAGTATGGGGTGCTGCTTTCCCTGTGGCCTTCCTCCTACCCCCCCGCATCCAGGTGGGAGTGAGAGGCTGACAGGCTGGCCCAGGCCCTGGGGAATCAGTCTTGGGACCCCTGAGGGGCTGGAGTGAGAGTGATGTTGAGAGCTGACGCGTTAACTGCTGACTCCCATGTGGCTAAAAACTTGGCCATGGCAAAGGACCTGGGAAGATTGGGCAGCCTTGTCCGTTGGCTGTCTCCTTGGGAGGGAGGGAGACCATGAAGAATCTTTTTTTTCTTCTTTTTTTGTACTACTGAGGTTTGAACTCAGGGCCTCGCGCTCTATACCTTGTGCCATGCCTCCAACCCTTTTTTGCTTTCAACTATTTTTCAGATAGGGTCTTGTGTTTTCACCCAGGGCCAGCCTTGGACCTTGATCCTCCTATCTATGCCTCTCACGTAGTTGGGATCACAGGCACATGCCACCACACTCAGCATGCTTGTTGAGCTGGGGTTCTTGATAACTTTTTGCCTGGGCTGGCCTCAAACCTCTGTACTCCTGATCTTTGCCTCCCAAATAGAATAGCTGGGATTATAGGCCACTGCACCTGGCTTAAAGAATTTGTAGGTCTCTGAATAGTCAGTTTGGCTGCTGTGGCAGAATGCTACCGTTGAGGTCCTAAAAAGCAAACCTGTTTTTCTAGCAGTTCTGGAGGCTGAACGTCCTAGATCAAAGGTGCAGCTGGGTTGATTTCTAGCATGTCCTGGGGCCTCCATTCTTTCAGGAGTGCTAGTTTTGCAATTCTGAGGGTCTTTGGAGGAATGGGAGGCCTTGTGACCAGACCTCCATTGAGGTCAGGGGTGGCAAGTCACCCTTCTCCTCTTCTGAGTGGAGAAACCCTCCTCTCTCGAGGAGCCCCCCTACCTCTCCTCCAGGCTTCCGGCAGAGAAGGAGAAGTGTCTGGTGGCAGTGCCTGCCCTCACCCTGCTCAGACCCTGTCAGATGCCCATGCAGGGCATGTCAGCTCCTTGAGAGTGGAGAGGGGAAACTCAAGAGAAAAAAACCCCTTCAGTTTCTCAGAAATCATGCAGCAACCCAGCTATTGGCAAAAATGGTGCCCCAGGAGCTGGGTGCTGTGGTTTGAATGTGTTGGTGGTGGGGAGACTCAGAGTCCCACTGCACCAGGTGGCTGGTTGGCGCAGGACCCCACTCTTCCTTTAGCAGATGGGGCCATGCGGAGTGGGGATGCAGGCAGAGGGGTTGTCTGCCAGCTGCAGTGGGTTTGCTGCATGTGTGGGCTCTGCCTTCCCTCATCCTGCCTGATGCTCCCTCCTTGGACATGTGCCTCTGGGTCAGATGAGGTCCTGTGCCCAGCAGACTAGAGCCGTTCCCCTGAATGTCTTGGAGCATTAAGGTGGCTTCAAGGGGCCAGTGTGGGGCGCGGCTGGAAGTGCATCTTGCAGTCAGGCTCATGTGCCCAGGAGCCTGTGGGGGAGAATTTGCAAGATTGTGAGGAAATGCATGCTCAGGCTGGAGCACAGGTCTGTGTGAGGCCTGGGCACGGCTCCTGTCTCATTCCTGTGCCAGCGTTGCCCTGGCAGAGTTCGCCTTGGCTCCTCCCTCGTACCAGCTGTTCCAGGAGCCCTCATCCAAACCCTGTCGCTCTTCTGTCTCTTTGCTTTCCCAGGCAGCTGATGGAGAACCAGATTGGGCGGTGGAGCGAGGAGCTTTCGATGACATGAAGGAGCTGGAGCGACTGTGAGTACTGGTGGGCTGCAGGCTCTGGAGGGGCTGGGGCTGGCAGACAGGTTACCTACCTGCTGGGCTGCTGATGGGGACAACCAGGGGCCCTTAGGGGAGGAAGTGCCAGCCTGCTTTGCCTGATGGTGGAGTGGAGCCAGAGCAGCTTCAGCAGTGGCAGGGATCACAGAGCATGGTGAGATGGTGGCTGGAAAGCTCACCCCTCCCCGCACCTCCTCCCCCTACCCTATTCTCAGTGCAACTTTCTATTGTTTGTCCCCGAAAATATGTGAGGGCAAAAAGTCACACGAGAAATTCGAAGTTCCATCCTATCGGGGTGGCGTAACCACTGTTTTCAAAGGAAGCTGTTGGTGTGTGGAGGGGACCCATCAGGGAAGTCCCAGGGGCCACCTGAGGATCACCTTAGGTGCTCAGGGACAAAGCACAGGCATAGGAAGGTGGCAGTGTGTTCTGGTTTTGCATGGCTTCTTTATGAGCAGGGCTTTCACGTTTGAAATTGGGTCATGATCAATTTTTGCATTTTGGTCAGAGACAGTGATGAAGGGAAAGACTGTGGGGGGTGGGTGAGGTAGGAGGTGGGCACTCATCTATTCATTGTGGTTCCTCAACTGGTACTTCTGCAAAGTGGTTTGACCACAGGGGTCCAGGGTCCCACAGCTCATGCTCTTTGAACCAGAAAGCCCATTTTATTTTAAGGAAACAGAGACGGTTAAAAATCATGTCAGGATATTCGTGCATATTATTTAAATACCAAAAAAATTGAAAACGGCCCTTCAAGTAAAAATTAGATATAAAATCATCACATTTTTCTTTTTCTTTTTTTTTTTTTTTTTTCTGTACTGGGGCTTAAATTCAGGCCCTTATGCTTGTTAGGTAGGTGCTCTACCACTTGGGCCACTCCACCAGCAATTTTTTGTGCTGAGGTTTTTTGAGATAAAATTCTCGAAAATAATTTGCCTGGGGCTGGCTTTGAACCACAATCCTCCTATTTCTGCCTCCTGAGTAGCTAGGATTACAGGTGTGAGCCACTGGTGCCTGACTTGTATTCTTTTTTAAATGAATTTTCTGACAATGAGTTTATGGTAATTGTAGCTCCGTTGAGTGCCTTACTCTACACCAGGCACCAAGCTAAGCTCTTTGCCCTGTGGTATCTCACTTAATCCTAAAACAGCACTGCTTCTGGTGGTATTTCACAAATGGAAAACAGAGGTGTCTGGAGCTTGAGTCACTTGCTCAGGACCATGCAGGAGAGGGCACTGGATCATTTTGCCTTCCAAGCCTGAGATCTTAATGACTAGGACCCAGTACCTCCCCTTTCACTTTCCTATCAAAGAAAATAAGGTATAAGTAGGGAAAAGAATGTGGCTGCCTCATTGTGCCCTTGCAGCCTGGGAGAGAATCAGGGTGCTCTTTCTTTTGTGTCCTCGCCCAGGCCTGAAGCTGAGCGATAAGAAGTCCTCAGCTAGGTCAACCATTTAGTCCTGTGTTTGCTTTCTTTAAAAGGCTTAGAAAAAATACATATTAATGACCTGGCTCTCTGGCCGATTTGGATCCAACCCATTAGGGCTCCAACTCTGCTGCTGCTATGCCTGGAGGGGGAGAAAATGTGGGCAGGGATTGGAGGTCTAGACATGACCAGGACTGGCCCCTGTTGTGCCTGCTGCTGCCACCCCAGGCTCGGCAGGGTCATCTTTTTTGAGTTATGACTAGTCACTGCAGACTTTGTCCCTTCTGTCCTTTTCTAGTTCCTTTCTTCCAGGGTGGGTCACTAGCAACTTCACAGTGGGCACTTACTCTGTCCCTGGAGGTGTTGGTGCATTCAACCCATGCCTTTCGAGTGGTCAGTTCAGTGGCCACTATCTCCGATTTGTTGGCTATCAGGGGTGATCAGTTAATCATCAAAGTTGTTTGAAATGCCAAGTCATAAAATTCACATAGACTATGACTGATCCATTTTCAGTTAAAACACATAAATGTACATTTATTGACCCCCTCCTCAACCTCTTTCTTTCTTCCTGAGACTTACTTTTTAGTATAAAACTGGTGGTGGTTCTTTATGGGTTTCCTTGCCCAAACCACACCCTATATACCTTGTTGATGAGTTTTGGTTTTGGTTTCTTGAAGGTAGAACTTAGGGCCCACACCTTGAGCCACTCCATCAGTCCTTTTTTGTGATGGGTTTTTTTGAGATGAGGTTGCATGAACTATTTGCCCAGGCTGGCTTCAGACTGCAATTCCCCTGATCTCTGCCTCCTGAGCTAGTAGAGTGAGAGTTTTAAAGGGCCTTGAAAGTAATCTGGGTACAGAATTAAGTCTTTCACTCAACAGCCCTTCAATTAGCAGTTACCTTTTTAATTGAATCTTTTCAAAGCATTCAAAGTTTTCATAGAGATGACTCTTTTCTCATTAGTATTTCATTAATTTGTGAATGAAATTAATTAAATGATATACTTGTAAGTACCTGTGGCATAAACAAGTTTGAGGACAGCCATAGCTGATTCTTGTAAGCAGTTATGAAACTTGAGTGTAGAAGCAGAAATGGGAGGCCCTGCTGGCTGGGAAGGACCATGGGCACCTGTTAAGAACCAAGCCATGTGGCAAAATGGTGACAGTAAACCTTTCCAGTGAGGTTGCACGGAGGAGGACTTGGGGTGTGCATGGAAGGCATCATAGCCGAGAGAAGAAAGCCCACCTTTTCTTTCTCCGATGATAAGGTGATGCTTCTAAAGCACTTATCCTGATGCCTGACAAATAGTACAGGCTAAGAGTGACGGGTTGCCACTGCTGCTATTTTTGCTCTGAGTTACCTCCTGCCCCTTACCATTCCTGCTTCCTCTTCTTTAAATGAGGCATTAAATTCCTTCTCCTAAATGGTTTTCAAAAATTGAAGTCAGAAAAATGAGAAAGTCTTGGGGAAAACAAAATAACCCCCCCACAATTACCAGGCATTGTAGACACGGGATTAATTTATTGGACAGGGGTTCAGGAGCATGGAGAGATCTGATGTCTACTCCCATTGCTTTAAGGGTTATTTTGGCCAACCCTTTTTTCCAAGGCAATAATGTTTTCCCCTTGAAGTCTGCCCTTTGGAGTAACTTTCTTCCAGCTGGTCTTCTTACATTGCAGATCTAATTGTCCCATGCTGGAACATGCAGTCCCCAATGTGGTGGTGATGACCGTTCTCACATATCAGATGAAAGATGGCTTTCTTGGGGGTCGCTATAGACAAGTTCCTGTTGGCTGCAAGGGACTCCATTTCTTCTCCTCTCCCTCCAGAAGAACATTTTTGCTCTTGGTTTATCACGGTGTGTGACCCACACTGTGCTGTGGATTTGTCGGCACCTGACTATCCATCAGCTCCACTCCAGCCATCACGTGCACACAGGTCACAGGGATCTTGTTCAAGTGCACACTTTGCTCAGTATATCTGGGGCAGTGCTGGAGATGGTGCCCCAGTTTTCTGCCCATGAAACTATATGGGCGTTCGGCCTCTGGATAGGCTGAGCTGCTACAGGAGGGGTTAAACAGTAATTGTTAGGTTTTAATATTGTCTATTATTCTGTTTCAGAATGTCTACATTCTGTTTCAGAATGTAGGTAGTATCTTTTGCTATACCCTAAACTCTAGTATCAAAGAATTGGTTGCTTATAGTGGGGGCAATGAGTCTGGTCAAATTTAGCCAACCTCCCAGTACAAGTCTGGGTCCTTTCTATGTTGTCTTCTCAGCAACTACTCTCCAGAATCAGACCTGCTTGTGCCTGTATTGATAATGTTGAAAGGGGCTCTGTTCTGTTCTCAGGGGAGTTAAAAAAATGGAAGTACTATTCAGTCATCAAAAATAAAAGGAAGGCTGGGGTATAGCTCAGTGGTAGAGCACTTGTCTAGCATCCGTGAGGGCCTAAGTTCAGTCTCCAGTACCACAAGGAAAAAAAAAGATAAATCTCTATTGCTTGACATCCTTAAGCTATTGAGTGAGGAAAAAAATGGCAGCTGAGTACCTTTTCTCCTATTATTTGAGGGTTCTTTTCTTTCTTTCTTCTTTTTTTCTTAAAGCATGCATTTTCATTGCTGATAAAAAATCAAGTTATTTTCATTTTGAAAAAAGACCCAAAGCAAACCAGCTGGGTGCTGGTGGCTCATGCATGTAATCTTAGCTACTCAGGAGATAGAAATCAGGAGGCTCATGGTTTGAAGTCAGCACTTGGCAAATAGTTCCCAAGACCCTATCTCGAAAAAAATCCATCACAAAAAAAGGGCTGGCAGAGTGGCTCAAGCAGTAAGAGCGTCTGCCTAGCAAATGTGATGTCCTGAGTTCAAACCCCTGTGCTGCCAAAAAAAAAAAAAAAAAAAAGCAATTGGGGAATTGGTATGTTTGGCCATTCCTACCCCATGAGGGCATATCTTACATTTCATAGTCAGGAATCTGGCTCCGAAGCTGACTCCCAAGATGGTGCTGGGATTGGTGCATTATGCATTACAAGTGTGATGGTGGGAAAGGTGCTCTGGCAGCCAACTTGGTGGGGGGCTTCTACAGCTCCTCCCACCTTGCCCTCACTAGTGCTCGGTGGCCAAATTCCCACTGTACACATGGAACTGTGGCCCAGAGAAGGCCATGTCCCTGGGATCACACCGTCACTGGTAGGACAAAAGGTTAGGGCCTGTGACTCTGAATCGGAGAAGTCTATTTCCTGGACAGCTAGGTGACTCCCACCTCTTCTGTCCTCTTTTTTTAGACGGCTGAACCGGAACCAGCTGCATGTGTTACCAGAACTGCTGTTCCAGAACAACCAGGCTCTGTCCAGACTGTGAGTTCCATGGCCAGAATGTTCTCTGAGGTTTTCTCCGTCCTAGGGGAGGGATGGGGAGTGGTCAGTAGGACCTAGGACATCCCCATGACTCTGACCACCCCGTGCTCCTCACCTGGCAGGAATGGTTTTGGCCACCAAAGGCGCAGGTGTTTCTGTAGGAAGCTACGGTGTGGGGCATTTCTCCACAGCAAGGGCTTGAAAGAATCCCAGTTCATCCAGCTCTGTGTATGCTGTTGACAGTGTGGGGGACAAGGGTGCCTGGGGTGGCAGCTTCTAATGGAGCAGTCAACCTTTGCAGGAGGTCATCCTTCTGCGTGTCTCACTGCCTTTGGTCACCTGCCTGGGGTTGAATACTTATTCATTCAACTAAACCCTTCTCGACTCTATCTTCGGCTCCTTGTCCTTTTCAGGGTAATGTGGTCTGTAAGTTTATTGCCCATGGTATAAGCTTTCTTTTTATTTACTCTCCACACACTTCTTCCAAGTTTAAAGAGTATTTGCTAATTCTGCTTCTCCAGATGTGAGATTGTTTTGCGGCCCTGGGGTTCTCCAGGACCTCTGAGACTTCCTAAGGAATCTCTTCTGCAGCTCTTTAGCATTGGTCCTGCAGTCTTTGCTTGGCTGCCTCTGGTGATGGGGAGTCCACCACCTCCTGGCTCATCAGTCCTGTTATCAGATAGATCTGCATATTGGAAAATTCTTCCTAACTTGGAGCCCTGAATCTTCTTTGTAATAACTTATGGTTTTCTTAACTTTGTTTTCTGTGATTTCTTAGAATGATCACAAACTCTTGTTAGTTTTGGGGAGGATTGTTAGGTTTTTGAGTTTTGAGTTGGGAGGTTTTGGAGTCCCCTTAATTATTGTCATCCACAATGTTAAGAACATTGGTTGGGACTTCTTAGTGTCTAGCAAGGCACTGTGTAGAGATGGGGCTGCCACCTCTTCCCTGAAGGAGCCCTGGGATGGCACCTGGGTGGAGAAAGCTGCATGAGGGCATGAGGTTGGCAGGAAGCGGACGGGACTGTGTGGGGTGGAGATGGGGCTACCTGAGTGTGGAGGAACCTCACTGGGCTCCTGGAGTCCGGATGTGCTCCTCTCTCCCCTGATTAGACACCACTGATTCTTTCCACCTCTGCCATGATTTTTGGGCTTCTTGCTAAGCCAGTGGTCTCCAGGCATCCCCAGAATCTGTCATTGATCTTGCTTTCCAGCTTTGTCTTTACAACATCACTCTAATTCTCAGTCTATTCAAATAGTGGTCAGAGGGTGACCATTTCCTTTTCCTTCTTCATCCTGATCTGGGGCCATGAATGATGATCCATTTTGCTGGTCTTTGGCATCTTGGGCTGGTGTTGAGCCTTCTCTTTCAATCCCCCCTTTTCTGGTAAGTTGTTACTTTCTTTCAATGCCAGGCTCACAGGGTGGGCACTTTATTTTTCTTTACTCAAGTGCTAGAGGTACTAGTTACCCAGTTTGTCTGGCCAAAGAGTACTTGGTGGTGATAAAGGTGAGGGGTGGGTGTTATAAGGACACAGACAGCAGGCTTCCCTAGCTCCCTGGGACAGGAAGTGAGATATAGCTGGCCCTTACAGCAACTGAGATGTGAGGATGATTCTAGTTCTTTCTGAGTACCCACCTTATTGTCCTGCTTCTCCTTGCAAACCAGTGTCCTGGCAACATCTTGGCTTCTCTACCACTTGGGTTGGCCACAGTGCTGACTACCCTCATATTTTCAGTGACCATGGAGCTCAGATCTCCACAATGTGTTGGGTCCCAGCTTCAGATTTCTGGGAGAAAGAATCTGATTGGCCCATCTTAGGCTCAATGATTGCCTCAGGTCATGAGCTGTGCTGGGCTCATGGGATTGGCTGAGGTTGGTATAGCCGTATCTTGGAGCCCACTTCTCAGGTGCTGGGTGTGGGGCATACTCCCTTAGAAGGTGGGCTAAGACCTGGAGGCAGTGCCTGGAATTTCTGGTCTCTCCCCTGTTGACCTTCCCTTTGCTTTGGAGGGGTCTTTTATCGATCCTTTTCATCTGGAGCAAATTACAGATTTTCATGCAAAGGCTATGCTAAGTCAGCATGAAAATGGACTTGAGAGAGACCAAATGTGCTGAGGAAGGTGTGACCACAGAGCATGTAGGTGGTGGATATCAGTTGATATTATCTGCGCACTTCCAGATGTTAAAGCCCTCCTGCTGGCTCTTCTTCATCAGTAGACCCATGTTGGGTTAGTTCTTCCATTTCTTCCAAGTGCAGGGCCATCGGCTTAGATGGGTGCTTTGCCTGGGACCACAGAGCAGTTTGACAATAGGGTTGGAATCAGATACCAGGTCTCTGAGGGCCCATAAAGATTCTGAAAATGGGCTTAAACCTGGACCTAGAACTTTCACTGCTGGGGCTTACCCTACTGAAGTAATAAAACATGTTCATTGTGGCATTATTTACAATATTGAAGAGAATATGGAAATAACTGAAATGTCCACCACTGGTGAAGTGGTTAAGTAAATTATGGTATGCCTGCTTGATAGAATATTTACACAGCCATGAAAGATGTCAAATAATGCAGATGTTAATGATATCAAAAGCCAGGATGCAAAGTTGTATTGACAATATGATCACTGAATAAATTACTCTAAATAATGTCTGAAAAAATGACTGCAGACAACTAACAGGGATCAGCTGTGGGTGATTTTTTTTTTTTTTTTCCTTTTGGATCTCCAATGCATGATGTTTGTGGTAGGAAACCTGCCAGGTCTTATCAGGAATGAAAGTCTTCTGTTAGTGAGCTGGGGGTGTAGCTTAGTGGTAGAGAACTTGCCTAGCCTGGATTCAATCCTTAACAATGTCAAAAACAAACAAAAAATTAGGCCGGTATGTGATATTGCAGGACCTTCTTTAATCCTGTTGAGCCTACTGTTCTGTGGGCCAAAGGACATGTACCTCAAGGGCTATCAAGAGGATGAAGGAGGAGGGTAGCCCTCACTTCTGCAGCACCTGGGAGGTGTCAGGAAATGTTAGAATTGTCCACATGGGAATAGCTTTGGAGGAGGGCAAACCTGATTCCCGGACTCCCATCCCTGTGGAGATTCAGCCTCACCCCAACAGGCAGAAAACGCAGAATGCAGAGGAGGCTATGGCAGGAGTTTGGTGTAGCAGCCAGATGAAGGCCTCCACAGCCAAAGGCTGGGGTTTGGCTTGGGACAGTCATGGTTAGCAAAGGGAACCTGCTTTGTGAACTCTCGGCTAACTTCTGAGCAGCGAAAGGAGAGCAAATGTGGAACAAATAGGCAATACTGTCCTGGAAACAGTGCCTGGTGTCCTGAAGTTACAATTGAAGTTCTTGGGGACTTCCTTGGAGATGCTCCCATTGAGGGTGGGCCTGGAGTTCCTGCTCAGTGTCCCTTCTTCCACAAGAACAGAGTGCCCATCTCCTTTTCATCCAAGTCAGCCATGCAGAAGTCAGCCTGCGCTGTGGTGGTAACGATTAGAATGAATGGAAGGCTAGTCTGTGCCAGGCTATGCTGAACTACATGCAAATATTGTCTGAATTCATTAGCAGAAAGTCTCTGTGACATTAACTGTCTCTCCCCCAGCCCCACACCACATTTTATAGATGAGGACCTGCAAGCTCAGAGGGTTTGTCACATACCCAAGGGGTTTGAGCCAAACTTGAATCTGGTCTGTCTGTTGCTAAAGTTCACCCCTCAACCCACCTTCCATCTACCTCCTCCACCACACTACCTACCCAGCCCTCTGTCTCCGCCACTTTCCTATTTATCTACCTACCCTCCCTCCAGCCTCCCAGCCATTCACCCTCCCACTTCTCCATCCACCAAGCAACCAACAAGTCCTCTCTTCTATCTACCACTCTGTACCCATCTGTTTATTCCCATCCTCTTATCGCAATCCTCCTATCTGACATCACCCGTCTACCCTCCCATCCCCTCAACTACCCATCTGCCCCTGCCACTTACTCACAACAGCTACCTACACACACCCACACAGACCCCTCTCTGCCCCCAGCTCCTCACCACCCTCCTGCCCCACCTCTCCCTCCACCCAGCCCCTCACCACACATCTGCTCCTGCCCACCCATTGATCCCATGGTTCCTGAGGGCCTCCTGTGGGCAGACTCTGTGTTCAGTGCTGAGAACACTTGGAGTAAGAGCTGGATGAGACAGCCAAGTGTGCCCTGCCTCTCCAGGAGGTGACAGTCTATCACCAGTGCTCCATGAGAGCTGTCACCACTCAGACCTACAAACCCATGGTCATGGGTAGGACAGTGCATTGCCTCTTGCATGCATGTCTCTGGCATGTACCTTAAGGCAGGTTACCCAGGTTTGGGGTCAGCTCCTCACAGGCCAGTGAATCCCCAGAAGATACAGATATGCAATTTTCATGGACATATGCAGGGTTAAGTTTGGGGCTGGAGGCACAGTTTTGAGAGCTGACTGCTTTAGAGTGACAAACCCCAGTCTTCACTCACATATAAGAGGGGGACGGGGAGTGTCAGCTCCCCACACCAGCCTCTGTCCCCCCAGGTCTGACTTCCTTGTAGCCTTCCTCTGGCCATCCCATCCCTTTCTCATCCAGAAGCTCTGGGCTTCCTTTTAGCCTTGGAACCAATATGCACCCTGACAAGATCAACCTACCTCTTGGTCTCTGCGGGCCTGGAAGGGGCAGGGCAGGTGATTAAGGGCAGCCCCAGGCATCTATTTCCCCTTATTTTTATCCCTGCTGTAAGGACCACAATAACTCATTACCAGGACTCTGGTGGTGGGAGAGGCGGGCTGGGAGAGTCTGCAGAGCCGTGTTGAAGAATGCCTGACCCTGGCGACCCTCTCTCAAGCTGGGTTTAATTAAACTGTCAGCACTGGTCAGAAGAACAAAGCTTCCCTTCCTGCCCACACCAGCCCCCATCAGAGGCAGGAAGGTATTCTCCTCTGAAATGAAGAGCTGTTAAAAATGGATCTGTCTTGCCTCCCAGGGAAATTAC